TATTTATTAATAATTTTCATGACTCCCACTTTAATACAGAATCTTGTCAGAATATAGGAAATATAGGTAATATAGTAATATAAGAACATAATAGATTTGCCACTACTGATATTGCTCCACAAAAGCTTAAAAAGAGCCTTATTCCTTTTATAATCTTACCCACAATGTAGCTCTCCTGCTTCTCCCTGACCCAACTAACATACACTTATCCCTTCTCATTAGATACAAGATCTCAAATTGCAACTCCTTCAGATATGTACATATTAATCAGAAGAAATACTACAGGACATAATACCTAAACAGGCTGCAATACTGATCTTAATAGCAGGACCAAAGCACATATCACCATACCCAGATCAATTTCCACATCTTGCAGACAAGTTTAAAAAGGACATAAAATGGGAACAAAACAGGAAAAATAAAATTAGAATACAATTCTTTAAGGATTCTTTTCCTTACTCTACAATATATGCATGTGCAAACCTATGGTAATACATTGACCCATATCTGAGAGAGCTCCATAAGAATTTTGATATAAAGGAATGGGTAGAACCAAGATGGATTCAGGAAAAGCCAGGCTCTGTTTTACAAGATGGAAGTTTATATTCTAATGAATATAGACAGATGGAAGTTGAAATTGCAATGCCTATTTATGTACAACTAGAGGAACCATCCTCATTCTTGTGCTTTAGTCAATATTTAGATTCAATATATCTCAGAGCAGTTGACAACCTTCTAATGACTATTAGGATCAACTGGAACAATGTAACAGAATTAGTCCATCAGAGCTTACATATAAGACAAACTTATAAATGTTTGGTATAAATAATTGAGCTGACGAACAGGGATTCAGCCAGCTGAAACAAGAGTGTACTTGAGCTGGAGAGTCTGATGAGGACCTGATATCCAATCACTTGTCATCCTTTCCTGATCTTCTGCATGATCCTCATTGCTCTCAAATTTTACAGCCTTGTCTGGACCTAGGTGAGAGCCACAACTTCTCTCTATGGCCCTCTTTTCAACTGATAGTTCACTCCATGACAGGAAAATCCTGCCTTGGTTCCAAACCTGGTCACCACAGTCTGAGTGAGTGTGAATCTGCTGGACAAAAAGCCTAAAGCTTAAGACTTTTGAATTTAGCCTGCAGATGAAATGTCTATCATTAGACTGTCATAATTAAGTGTGTTTTGCAATGCTTAGAATTAATCTAGAATTGTTTGCTGTAAATTGATTATGTCTACTGCAGTGCCTAGCATTAAGGATCATTGTTTTCTTGATTGTGGCTCAGAGGTAGAGTGATCACCTAGAATG